TGTGCTTGGACCAATCTTGTACATCCTTTACACGGCAGACATTCCAACAAGCCGCCAGACCCTCATCTCAACCTTTGCTGGCGACACTGCCATTGTCAGCCGCTCGAAATACCCAAAAACAGCTACAGCCCATTTAAAAGAACACCTGGTAGCTGTAGAAAAATGGCTCGCAGACTGGCGTATCAAAGTCAACGAGCAAAAGTGTAAGCACATTATATTTACACTAAACTTGTCGAAATGCCCACCACTGGCGCTAAACAACAAGCCGGTTCCACAAGCAGACGAAGTCACCTATCTCGGCATACACTTAGACAGGAGGCATACCTGGAGAAAGCATATAGAAGCAAAGAAGACCCATTTAAAACTAAAGGCCAGCAGCCTTCACTGGCTCATGAACTACCGCTCCCCCCTTCCACTCGAATATAAAGTACTACTGTATAACTCGTGCTTAAAGCCGATCTGGACCTACGGTTCCGAGCTCTGGGGAAACGCAAGCAGCAGCAATATAGAAATTATTCAAAGAGTACAATCAAAGACCCTACGAACAATAACTGGAGCCCCCTGGTACATCCGCAACGCAAGCATCCAGAGAGACCTGGATATAAATCCCGTAAAAGAAGAAATTGTTTCCAGAAAAATTAAATATGAAGCCAGATTATCAAATCACCCAAACCTGCTAGCCAGACAACTCAACCGGCTAAGCTATCATTCCCGTCTACAGCGGAATGATTTCCCATCCCTCTTCAATAACATAAATTAACGTAACATAGATTAAGATTTGAAAACTTATTGTTAGTCTCTTAAGTAATAGAGAAGATCCAATAAATGAGAATAAAGTATAAAAAAAAAAAAATTTATTGCACTCAAAAACATAAACATAAACACAGCTGCTGGTGCAGGACAAAAGCTGCCTGCGCTAAAGCAGCGCTGGTGCTGATGTCCTTTTTTCCTGTGGTCACTATAATTACCATTATGTAAAAAAAAAAAAAAAAAAAAAATTTGTAGGTCGGATTGATTGGCCAAATATAAAACCCATAGAAAATCCCAACTTCCTAACTTTACAAACACCAAAGTTATGGCATTTCCGATCAATCAGTTATATGGCAGCTATAGGATATAGTCGGCCGATCCCGGCCGTTCCGACATATATACTGCGTGCAAAGGAAATAAAGGTGTGTGCAAAGTTTCAATTTGATAGCTTTAAAACTGAGAGACTAATTTGCGTAGAAACAGACAGTTGGACATGGCTATATCAACTCAGGAGGTGATCCTGATCAAGAATATATATACTTTATAGGGTCGGAGATGTCTCCTTCACTGCGTTGCACACTTTTGAACAAAATTATAATACCCTCTGCAAGGGTATAAAAAACATACAAGAAGGCATATTTATATTAAGTTGTTTAGCTGAGTAACGGGTATCTAATAGTCGAGGCACTCGACTATAGCGTTCTCTCTTGTTGACTTTCAAGTGCCTTAAAAAATCGGAAAAAAAATTTTTTAAATAAAAATAAAAACTACTAAGGACTTGTTTAAAATAATATAAGTGTCTTGCTGATTAAATAAAAGTGTATCCATAAGAGTTTTTATAAGCCAAATATAAATAACAGTTTTTTTTGAATTAAAAAAAAAATCGAAAAAATAAAAATAAAACTTATAACTGATATTAGGGGTGTTAAAATTAATAAAAAAAATTTTGAGATAAACGTTTCAAAAAAACCTTTAAGGAAACGGCGATAACCCATTTTAGGCGAGGAGGAGACTTTTGAACAACATTTGTTTGTTTGTCCCGTCCTATACAAATGATATATTGAACGTTAGAACAAGGTTTACTTTTGTGGCTTAGTTAAGGAAAAAAGTTTTTGTACCCGCAATCTTTCAGGACAGGTGCCGGGCACTAATTCTACAACTGAGGGTATCACTCCGTGTTTAAAGCGATTTCCAGACGCAAGACTTTTCTTTAGATCCAAGGCTCTTTATTTTTATACCCGTTACTCGTAGAGTAAAAGGGTATATTGTATTCGTGCAAAAGTATGTAACAGCTAGAAAGAAGCGTTTCCGACCCTATAAAGTATATATATTCTTGATCAAGGTCACTAGCCGAGTCGATATAGCCATGTCCGTCTGTCCGTCTGTCCGTCTGTCTGTCCGTCTGTCTGTCCGTCTGTCTGTCTGTCCGTATGAACGCTGAGATCTCGGAAACTATAAAAGCTAGAAGATTGGCATTTTGCATGCAGATTCTAGGAGTTCCTACGCAGCGCAAGTTTGTTTCAAAAGGTGCCACCCCCCTTTAACGCCCACAATCGCTAATATACGATTTTAAAAATTTTAATATTTCGGAAAAGTAAAAATGCAGTTTTATTGTGTTTATCGATACCTACCGAAATGTAGAAGAAATTTTTCAAATCGGACCATTCGTTAAAAAGTTATGCGTGATCAAAGTTTCTATCTCCATCTCCCTCGCACTCCCTTTACCTGTGTAACGGGTATCTGATAGTCGGGGCACCCGACTATAGCGTTCTCTCTTGTTTTTAATGCTCTTTCCGATAGCCTTGGTAGAATTTTTGGACGTTCTTAAGCTCTCTGGAGCTGCTGCCCTCATAAAGCTCCGCGATTTTGTCGGACCAACCGACTGCTTAATGGTATCTTCTGTACGCCGTGAGTAAATAAAGGGCATACATTATAGGCATCTTAGGTATCATTTAGGGACCCATGTGAGGGTCCGAATAGTCTGTCCGTCCAGGTGGGATAAACACTTTTGAAACACACTTGAAGTAAAACTGAATTGAAGTTGTTTGTTCTTAGCATTATCAAAGCTTAAGCTACATGGGAGTAAAAGGTAAAGTATATTTTTTTCAAAAAACAAGCCTATTTGCCCTTTTTTGAAAATTTTTAATATACCCAAATTTTGTCCGTAGTCCTCATAGTAGCTCTTTTGCACTTTTGATTCAATCGAGTTGACGCCGCTCAAACGACGGTCACTGGGAGTTGCCTTTAACCCGATATACCGCACCGAAACAAGAAATAGCCAGATCTTGTAGCGTAAAATGGTATTGAACAGACGGAGGGGGGTTTTATTCTGTAGGAATATTACAAGTTCATGATTTAACTCTACACATATAAGTTAACTTTACCGCAGTCTCGCCTCCCAGCTTCTCTGACCTCGTTGATTGGAATAACTTGGAAGCGGGAAGCTCTTTTTCCTAACTTCAAGCTGTGTGACCAGATTCCCTAAACAGCGAGAATCCTCAACCGGTTACATTGTACTAAATATAATCTCTAATTTGTGGCGCTACATTTGAATTGCCCGACAATCGATAATTGGGTTAATCCGTTCCGCGACATCCCCACCCCCGTGAAGCAGCTGCATTCACCACGTCCAAAACAGCTAACTTGGAGACGGGACGCATAATTAATCTAGTTCGATCGTCGCTGGTAATTCGCACCGCTGCTCGTCGTGGAACTCCGTCAGCTCCTGGGTACACTTCCTCCACGACGCCTTTCCTCCATTCCCTGCGAGGGACGGCCGGATCACATATGTACACTAGATCCCCACGACGCATTGGCTCGACGCGCTCACACCACTTCTGTCTGCGAATGAGCGTTGGTAGATACTCGTGTACCCAACGCTTCCAGAATCGGTCTCTCATCATCCGCGCTATACGCCACTGCTTCCTTGTGGCGCACTTCTCTGGCGGGTGTCCACGATTTGAAGGGAGGTCCGGAACGTTTGCTACTCCTCTCAGCAGGTCGTTCGGCGTCAATGGAGCCTCCTGGTCCACCGTGACTGGCAGATGGGTAAGCGGACGAGAGTTGACAATATTCTCCGCCTCGATAAGGAAGCTTTCCATCACGTGTTCCCTTAGGGGCCACCTCCTTCACGGTATGCGCCAACACCTTCTTAACGCATTGGACCATCCGTTCCCATACGCCTCCCGCGGACGGGTGAGCCGGGCAGCTGAAGATCCATTCGATTCCTTTGGATGACAGTTCACCCTGGATCCTCTCTGGCTCGAAGACTTCATCGAACCTTCTGGCTTCACGGTTGGCTCCGATGAAATTCTTCCCGTTGTCGCTTCTCAATCTAATCACTGGTCCTCGGCGGCACATAAAGTTCCTCATAGCGATTATGCAGGAATCTGTCGACAGATCGTGGGCCATTTCCAAATGGATAGCCCTGGTGGTTAGACATGTAAATAGTGCCACCCACCTTTTCTCTGTCCGACGTCCAATCGTCACTTGCAGTGGACCAAAATAGTCCAGACCGGTATATTTAAATGGCCAACCGTTGGCCTCGAGCCGGTCCTTTGGCAATGGACCCATCAGTGGCGGAGCTGGTTGCGCTCTCCGAAGTTTACATAATTGGCATCTGGTTATAACCTTCCGCAAAAGTCTCCTTAAATTTGTTATCCAGAACTTCGTCCGGATTTCGCTAATGGTCGCATCTAGGTTTTGGTGCTTCATCTTCCTGTGGTAGTGATCGGTGATCATCTCTGACAGTGCGTGCTGGTGCGACAGTATGATGGGGCGCCGTGTGTTAACTGGGACACAACCGGCGGCATCGATTCTTCCACACGCACGTATAATTCCATCGTTGTCAAAGTATGGCGAAAGTCCTCGTAACTGACTGTCTTTCGCTACGGCTTTCCCTTGAGTTTCATCCGCGAACGCCTCTGATTGCGCCCGACGGATTAATAAGCGCTCTGCCTCAGCACACTCAGCAGCAGAAAAACCGTATTCCTCATGTACGTCACGCAGCCCACGGCACCGTCGAATGAACCTCAGGACCCATGCTGTCGATCTAACCAATCGATCGTAGCTCGAAAACCTGTGCAAAGAAATAAAGCTATTTGCTAAAACCAGTGCGAACTCACACGGCATCTCTTCCTCCTCCGTTGTCTGCAGGCTGCTACTATCACCCGGAGAACTCTTGGGCCAGAGCTCCTCAGGCTCCCGCAGGAACGATGGTCCGCTGAGCCACCGCGATTCTTGGCTAAGGTTCACGTGGCGTTGCGGTCTCGTGCGTCATCAGCCACATTTTCGGCAGATGGTATCCATTTCCATTGGGACACCTCCGTGGACTCTAAGATCTCCGCCACCCGGTTTCCTACAAACTGCTTGTACCGCCGGTGGGTGCTGCTAATCCAGTGCAGCACAGTCTTCGAATCAGTCCAAAGAACGCAGCCACTGATCGTCATACCGTGCGTCTGTTTTACGGTGTCCATCAGCCTGGTTCCCAATACAGCTGCTTGGAGTTCCAGTCGCGGGATCGACATCGTCCTCATCGGGGCACATTTGGTTTTCGCACACACGAAATGTGCCCGCACGTCGCCGTCGTCATAAGTGGTTCTCCAATAGGCCACCGCGGCAAACGCCGATTGGCTCGAATCCACGAAAATGTGCAGCTGTAGCTCACGCACTCGTCCTACGCCGAAATAGTGGCGCGGACACCGGAAGTCTCTCACGTAGTTCATCTCCTGCCGCCAGCTCTCGAATGCTGTGGCTAGCTCATCAGGCAGGGGCTCGTCCCATTCCACTGATCTCCTCCAGGTTTCAATCATTAACAATTTGGCGGTCACCGTGTAGCAGCTCAAAAATCCGAGCGGGTCAAATGTTGACATAACGAGGCTGAGGAATTCTCTTTTGGTGGGGACACGTTGCCCTGTCATCACGCTGCTGGGTACCCTGTGGTACTTTATACTGAATTTAAAGTCGTCAGTAGCCGGCTGCCAGTACATGCCCAGAATCTTCTCCTCAGCTTCGGTCCACTCGACGTTCTCGCTGGATCCTAGTGGGTTCAACGCTCTGACCACACCTTCCGAACTGGAGGAGAACCGGCACAAATCGAAACCAGCACTCGCATGAATTTCCTTGATCCGGGTTGATACAGAAATAGCTTCGACATCGTTTGAGAAGCTATCTACGTAGTCGTCTACATAATGGTACTCGTTGATGGCCAGGACCGCGCGGGGGTCTGTACGTGCGTACCTTGAAGCATTAACTGTTTTCACATGATGCGCTCAGCACGGCGAACAAGCTGCTCCAAACGTCATCACCATCATTTCATACAGATCTGGATCCCGCTGGTCATCTCCATTTCTCCACAGGAATCTCTGGGCGCATTTGTCTTGAGGCTGTATCAAAACCTGATGAAACATCTCCTTAATATCTGCGCAGACCCCGACTGCTCCTTCCCGAAAGTGGAAGAGCACGGCTGGCAGACTCTTGTACTGCTGTGGGCCTTTGAGCAGCGCTGAGTTGAGGGATATGTTGCCGACCTTTGCTGCGGCGTCGAAGACTAGTCGGATCTTACCAGGTTTATTTGGATTCTCGACCCCGAAATGCGGCAGATACCAGACCCTGTCGTTGTTGGCTGGAGTGACTTCCTGCGGCTCTAGTCGTCGTGCATACCCTTTTTTGACATAGTCCTCCATAATCCTATTGTAGGCCTGCGCGAATTCCACGTCGCGCTTCATTTTTCGTTCGATGTTGACGAGTCTCTTGAGAGCCATGTCATAACTGTTTGGCAGTCTCACCTCGTCATCCTTCCATAGCAGCCCGGTTTGATATCGTTGGCCCACTCGCTTAGTCGTCCCGTTAAGTATTCCCAAAGCCCGTGCGTCGCCACTAGCTGCGACTGGTGGCGCCGGCTTTACTCCAAAGTTTTCTGTTTCGAAGTAGTCGGTGACCATCTAGTCCAGAAGACGATCCTGAGGGATGGCTAAGAGGCACGATGTATGAGTCGGTGAACTTACTTGTCCTTTCACCGGCCCGAACACCACCCATCCAAGCGTCGTGGCGGCTGCATATGGTCCTCCTGTTCCAAGGCTCCTATTTTTCATAGGTATTCCCAAGTGTGCATGGTCCAGTCCAATCAAAATCCTCGGGGCCGCATTACTGTAGGGCCTCATCGGCAGGCGTGCACCAGCCTTCGCCGTCTTGACATCTTCTCGGCGCAGACTTTGCATCGGCAGATTGAGGTTTGGGACTGCAAACACGTTCCTTAGTCCATGGCGTTTTGGCTTGCCTGCTCCACTGATCTGCAGGCTTACCATTTTGGTGCGCTCGCTGGATGACTTGCCACCAAACCATTGGATATTGAGCTGCCGATTCTCACCTTTCAGGTCTAAGCTTCGAATAAGCTCGTCATCTATCATGGTTACGGAAGATCCCTCGTCGAACAGCGCGTAGGTATCCACTTGCTTGCATTCGCCGTACAGAGTCACGGGCAGAATACGGAAAAGTAAGTGACCACCGTCTGACTCGACGCAGCTTAGGTTCCGATGTGGTCTTTCTGTATCACCACTGCGCAAACGTCCCTCATCCTCACGCCAAGCATCTTGACTCGCTTGTGGCGTGGGGAAACTACTCGGTGCCGCTGGCTGAGGTACGTGTGCCTCGCCTTTCCGTCGACCACTGCCAGTTTGCAGTGCCCGGTTGCGGCTGCTCATTTGATCCCTCCGAGGACCACCGTATGCCTGTGGTGGCCGTGTGTGTTGCTCGTGAAGTAGGTAGTGATGCCTCCTCTGGCATCCATATACATTGCAGCTAACATCTTTTTTGCAGAACCTTGCCATATGTCCACTTTCCAGACACAAAAAACATATCCGATGCTTCTTCGCGATATCGAATCGCACAGTTGGAGACGCATGGTTGAAGTCCTTGCAATCCTTGATAAGGTGTTGCCCCTCGCACACTGGGCAACTCCTAACTTGGTTGTCAGCTGCGCTGGCGTGCAGCACCCTTCCCTTGGGTTCCTTGCTCTCGAAGTCCGATATGGTACACACCAGCCTGGCGAGTTCCTCCAGCCATCCGCTGAGGTGTACGACCGTGGGGAAGCATCCTATTCCAGTGGCATGCCTGGCCCAGTCCAACCTTTTGCTCAGCGGTAGCTTGGCGATCAGCTCCTCCATCAGGATGGGGTTTCCTAGGTGCTGCTCTCCGTTCGGGGTTGCCTGTAGAAACGCAGCGAGATTGCTGACCCGTGTGGAAAAGTGCACGATCTTGCTGATGTTGTGCTCCTGGATCGGCTGCACACTTCGCACGTTTTCCAGCTGGCTGCGTATCAGCTGCTCCGGACGACCATATCGGGAGCGTAGCTGCTCCATTACAGCCTGAACATTACTCGGGTGTATAAGCAACGACTTGACGGATGCTCGCGCTTCACCCTTCAGGGCCTTGACTAGTCTCTGGTTGTTTTCTAAAGCTGTACACTGGTACGCCGCTGTTGTCTCCGTGAACGCGCATTGGAATATTGGCCAATCCTCAGGCTGACCATCAAACTCGGGGAGATCAGGCAGTCTGTGCGGCGTCCATCCATTTAGGCTCGGCGATGCTATTCCATAGGACCCAGCCGACTGTGTGGGTACCATGGTTATGTGTTGAGGCTCCCGAAATGCTTGCACGTTATTGTGCGCTGGCTGCAGTTCGGCCGTTACACATCTTGGCGTGGAGTAGCTTGCCGTTGTACAACTTGCGCTACTCGTGACTGGTTGCCCTATTGCCAAATGTCCACTCAGTTGTGGCGGCAAATCTCCACTCAAATATGGCGGCAACTGTCCATGTAAAGATGGAGTCACAAGTTTTTCACTCAAATTCTGTCCACTCAAACATGGCGTCGCATTCGCCGTCTCACTCACTCTATTACCGCTCGACCCGATTCCAACGGGATTCCTGGCGGCTGCATCATGCCCTTCACTTGCCCTTGCCCTTTGTAGCTCCTCTTCCAAGCTTGCGATCCTTTCCATTAGGGCCGTAACTTGTGCGGACGTGGGAACCGATTCTTGGCGTGATCCTCCAGCTGGCTGTAGATCTGCACTCGGTTTCTTCCCCTTTTGCCCGCTGTCCTTAGGAGCTTGTGCCCGCTGCACCTTACCGCCAGCCGCGGCATCCGTTATGGCTCTCGGAGTGCCGGCTGGTTGGTTTCCAGTGGTTGCAGCTGCGGAAGTCTCTGGCTGTCCAAGCCGAGGACTGCGCCGGGGTGAATGTGAAGTTGGCATAGCACGATGATGATGTGAGCACGTAGTGCGAATGAAGAGTGCGAATGAAGAATGCGAATAAAAGAAATGACGCCGCTCAAACGACGGTCACTGGGAGTTGCCTTTAACCCGATATACCGCACCGAAACAAGAAATAGCCAGATCTTGTAGCTAAAATGGTATTGAACAGACGGAGGGGGTTTTATTCTGTAGGAATATTACAAGTTCATGATTTAACTCTACACATATAAGTTAACTTTACCGCAGTCTCGCCTCCCAGCTTCTCTGACCTCGTTGATTGGAATAACTTGGAAGCGGGAAGCTTCGCTTTTCCTAACTTCAAGCTGTGTGACCAGATTCCCTAAACAGCGAGAATCCTCAACCGGTTACATTGTACTAAATATAATCTCTAATTTGTGGCGCTACATTTGAATTGCCCGACAATCGATAATTGGGTTAATCCGTTCCGCGACACGAGTTTTTATTTAAAGAAATAATAGTTCAAGATTTATTTTCAATAAAAACTGAGAGACTAGTTTGCGAAAAAACGTTCGGACGGACGGATCGCCTCTTCTGGTAATACTGTTGATCAGCGAATTATTTTCAATAATAAAATAAAATTCAAGAAATAAATTTTAATTTAAAAAGTTTTGATTACAAAAAAAGTACAAGGCTAGCATTATTTGTGAATTTCTGTCTAAGGGTATAATTGTTTATATTTTGTGTCTGGGGTGTTAGGTTCTCCGACCGAGTGTGAGGGGATCTGAATATGTTACTCCCCTATACTAAAAAATTAGCTTGTCCACAAGCGTTTAAGGCATGGTACAAGATTAGTTATGGTGTTTCTTGATGAATAAGATTTACGGGTTCTAATTCAGATGTGTGATTGAAGTGTTTCTTCTATTATGTTTCCTTCTATTATGGTTTTCGATTCAATACTTACTTAGGCAAATTATACAATACAATATTTGGTTTAATAAAATGAATTTGAAAGTTCTTTACTGCTTTTGTATATTTACATTCTTTGGGTATTTGGTTTAAAATGCCTGTTATACATTTGTTATTTACTTCTTGGTACTTCTTTTGTTTCTTTTGTTTTTTTAATGATATATCTTTCGTGAATATTCTCTGTAAGAATGTTTTTTTTTCATCTCGAATTGGTATTATTTCGAAAATTTGAATTTGTTTTAATTCTTTGGGATATGAGATATTATCATATATTAGATTTCTTGAGTATCTAATTTTAACTGGGTTGAAGTTTTAATATTTAGTAATTTTTCTAGTGTTGTATTTTTAATAAATCATGTTTTAATAATATGTGGTTGAAACAGTCTAGTCTTGTGAGCTGCTTTCCTAACTCAATGTCTTCTATGTATTCTGTGAAGTAGTTTATATTGAAAATAGCTATTCTAATTTTTTTTCTTGTTCGCTTTGTAATTTGAGTTCATTCATTACTATTATTTGCTTGGACAATAGTTGCTTATAAATTGTTTATATTTTTTTCTTTTTCTTCTCTGTCGTTATTATCAAGTTTACCAAATAAGCACACCCAAAAAAAAATAGTCATAGAAACGAAACTATTGTTACATGAATTCTACACTATTCAGTATAAAAAATTTCTCAATAAGATGAGTATTAAATAAAAACTTTGAAAGTATTAAAATACAACTTTCGATGTTATCAATTTTATACTACTGAGTATAAAATTTCAACTCACTCGGTATACTTTTACCCATACTCCTAGTTTATTTTTCATACTATTTAGTATAACAAAAATACTGTGCTACCGGCATGTAGTATATGTCGGCGCACACTAAGAGTGTGTGAATGTTGGTATGAGTGTATGGGTATATTCTCGGGAATTTAATATTGCTTTAGCCTCTAATTGTGCTGTGTCATGTTGTCGCTTTAAGAAATTGCGTTTTAGCGGGGCGACAGCGTAGTGTCGCTGTCGCCGAGTGTGGTTCGATGGTAAGCACAGAAGGAAGAAGGGACGAAGCAGTTAGTTGCGTTTAGAACTTGAGGTGTGCGAAACCGAAACTCGCTGCGCTACTACGATGTCGGACGAGAATAACCCTGCTGCAACATACATATACTTTTCATATTATTTCGTATAACACCTATACTATTGGCTGCGAGCTGTAGTATACATTTTGCACCCTGCCCTTAAAAATAAATCCGAATTTTTATTTATTTTTATTCCTTCATCAAATTTAAAATACACGTGTTTTAAAAATTACATTTGTATAATTTTTTTTTTTACTTAGCTAACAAAAAAATTTTAGTTTTTAAAAATCTGAAAAAATAAATTTGTCGTTTAAATGTACATGTAAATATAGAAATTAATTTTTTTTTTATAATCTCCCAAAATGTTGTGCATAAAGAAACGTATATCTTATGTAACGACCTGTTTCTTTATTTTCTGCTCACTACGCAAACTTACGGCTAGCTCAGAGAGGTTGTTCCTCCAAATTTATATTGAGTGACTGCCCGTAACCAAAGGATAACGCCAGAAAGGATTAGGTTGGTGCTGGTTTATTGATTCTCTAAACATAGCCTTTTTGCTACTGTTTTGCTACCCGTTGTCGCTGACTTCTGCTGCGTTGCTCCTGGCTCGCTGCTGCGCTGGGATCGGGGATCGGGGCGGCTCCACCAAAACTCTGGATCTTATGCGAACTTTCCTACCGGGGTCGGCAAGGTGTATCGCCTAGCAGATAGAACAAAGTTCTGCCTTATCGCCTAGCCACCTTTATCGCCTGACACCGCGCAACGACTCCCTAAGTTTGATTTTACCACTACCTCAGCGTTGTAGCCTCAGCCTTGTAGACTTGTCGTCGTTCGGCATCTCGACTTTGCGATCTTGATCCTTGGGCACTTCGGTTTCGATTCTTACTTATTCCGCGTTCAAGCACTCGCTCTGATTCTCTGCGCCGTCCTTTTATAGGCGCTATAGGTGCCGTTATTTCCCTCGCCGTGCTCGGGTCCAAGGTCCACTGAAGTACCGTTCATTCTCGGTGTGTCCTCTTTAGGCGGGTCCGAAGTCCGCCAATTTACCGTATGACCTCGTTGCCCTTGCCATATGAGGGTCCAAGGTCCGAATATTTCCCGTTTGACCTGGATGCCCTTCATTTCTCCAGCTTTCTCGCCTCCTCCGCTGTTGCTAGGCCGATCTCCTGCATCGGGATTTGTGGGGAGTTTAAGACTTCTCACATTTCCCCCTTCCTTCGGAAACGTAATGAAAGTGGTGAATTCTCCGCCTGAATTGCGTGTTAGATTTAGACCGTTTTCCTAAAAGACTTTACTCGTACAGCTCCTTAAAAGACTTAAACTTTCCCGCGACTGTTTCCCTAAAAGACTTTTTCATACAGCTCCTTGAAAGATTATTTCCCCAGACTGTTTCCCTGTTCCCCAGACAGTTCCCCGTTCCCCAGACAGTTCCCTGCGTGGAATTCGAATTTTCCTGCAGAGCCCTGGAATCTCACCACGATCGCGTTTATCGATTGTGGGTTCCAGTGTTGCCATCGTCGTTGCCTTTTTGTTGTCTTAAGTTGCCTTTTAAACAGAGCTCGCATTTAACTGTCGACCGTTTCTCGTTGTCTGCAAATAAGTGTCTTCTCCTGACTCTTTACGAAAAGACTCAAAGAGCAACCGATTTATGGGTTCTTGAATGAGCTCGCTCGCGCTCAGAGCGAAACCGTTTATTTCTATACTGTTTTGTTCTGGTTGTTCCAAGACCGTTTTGTCGTGTTAAGTGAAGCAAAAGGTCTTTTGCGTATGTATTGGTTTACATTCACACGCATAGCATAGAGTAAGAAACTATATAGAGGTTTCATTTGCTCTGCCCGGGCCTCTGCCAAAGCTCTGCTGAGAGCCATGTTCGAAGCTAACTTCTTCTAACTTCGGTTTCTCACCACTTCTAACATGTGCGAAGCACAAGCAATAGTATGGGGAATTCTCGTACCAAACCATAGGAATAAGAGCGACCAGTGCAGCTGCAGAAACTCACCGCGGGACTCGATTCCAGTTCGATCGAATAAATGAAAAACTCTCTTTTTTTCCGTTTTTCCCCTACGTGGCATCACTGGCAAAGTCACTCGAGAGCGCGGGCAGAGCAAATGAAACCTCTATATAGATTCTTACTCTATGCGCATAGGCAAGCAAATCGTTATTTTTCTGTTTTGCAGACGAAATATATCAATTGTGAACGGGAATTGGTGTGTCAAGTTGTGAAATAATTTTCGTGTAAAATGGGAAGAGAATTGAATAAAAATGTGCATCAATTCTTGAAATTTAATTTGGAAGACTTCTCGCGATCTCGTTTTTACGCCTATTGGGCTCCGCGCGTAACAAGCACTGCTTGGTGTCGTAAGGGCCACTTGTTTGCGCTGATCATAGTGCATCAATGTCCGAAAAAGAGAAGAAGTAAATTTGTAGTGTTTGCGGTGTTAAATTGACCGGCAATCATTCAAAAAACTTAAAACGCCATTTAACAACGAAACATATGGAGATTTTCAATGAGTGGAACAATTCTGGAAATTCAAAACTAACCGAAGGAAAACGAAAAATATCGTATCAAACGAGCGAAGAAGCAATTGTTTCTACTTTGATTAAAATAGTAACCACGGACGGAAAACCATTTATATTTCTAGACAGTGAAGGGTTCAAAGAAATAATGGATCCAATATATAATTCACTTGGCATGAACCCTGTAACGTCTAGATGATTACGGAATATCACTAGATCAAATCTACAGGTAAAAATTGAAATACATACAATTTTTAAAATATGTGATTTTTTCAAATAATTTTGATATTCATGCACACAGCATTACGTCTGATAATGGTCGAAACATGATAAAAGCCGTCCAAGTTTTAAATGATGCCACAGAGTAATCCCTTTTTGAAGATGACACAGAAAGTGAGAATCTTGTGAATGAACTGGATGCCATTGAACTTGCTAATATACACCTTGTGAGATGTGCAGCACACGCTCTGCAACTGTGCGTATTCGATGTGAACCAG